CCTGCAGGGCGGGCCAGTCTTATATAGTGCTGGCCCATCCAGGAGGCTGCTCTTGCCAATGCCAAAACGTGCCAGACCCTGGCGTTGAAGTTCAAACAAAGGTTGTCTTGAAAACAGTCCCAAAATGGCCTGTGCTAAAACCCTGGTCTGGTGCCTAAGTTTCAGGGCAGGTCGATCTTATGAGGGCCTGAAAATGGCCCTCCGTTTCACGCTGAAAAGACTCAGGGCCTGGAGGGCCTTTTTAGGCTGAAACGACACAGGGCCTGTAGGCCCTTGTTTTCAGGCTTTTAGGCTGAGAACGCTGGTCGGGCCCTGCAGGCCCCTGTGGCTGTATGCCACACCTGCCGACCCAGTCATCTTCAGCTGATCCCTCCACATTCCAGGCTTCCCAAGGCAGCACATTGTCTTCTTTGTGCCCTTCTCGGCTTCTGGCCCCTCCAGTTGGTTCGAAGTTGGCTCGCTACTACGACACGATAGGCTCTTCTGATAATCTACTGTGAAGATGAGTTCTTCACCCCTCTATTTACTAATATTGAATCTATTGATGCATCCCGCCTTCAGACTTCCCAGATCTGTTTCCCCATCACTCAATGGCAATGGTTGAGCCACAATGGTTCGGGGGTACGTGAAGACGCAGGAGGGAACGAGACGACCGCACCAGGCCATCAAAGGTAACAACTGCAACCAGGGATACTTCTTCATAATTGGGGGCTCAAGTAGGCTGAAGAGGTTGCCGCATCTGCATCCAAAGGGACACTGGGCCCTCTTGCCAGTAGTCATGACTCATAAGTAATGTGTGGAATTGGCTTAGTTGTGCGCAGTGTCATTCCGAAGCAACATTTTCTCTGTCTAATCTTCATACGGGACGCTGGGCCCATTTCCCAGCATGTGCTGCTCCCCACGAATAGATCGGAGCCTTGTTTTTTTGTTTTTGAAAAAAAAAAGGATTTGCAAAATGCCCCTGAATTTCCGTTTATTTGCGATTTGCCCTCGGACGGCCGATTTTTCCTGATTTGCCCCTGGAGCCTCTGAACTTTCGTGCAGCCCCTGTCAGTGAGGGGCCCAACTTTTCGGAATGCCCCTACCAGACCTGCGGTCCCATTTCCCGTGGTGCCTGTCCGATTTGCCCTCCTGCGGGGCATGCATCTTTGTGAGATGCCATTGAACAGGGAGGCGCCAAGAATTCGAATTCGAACTCCGTACTTTTCCACTCCGCCGCCAAAAAAGCAGGGCTGCACTCCGCGTCGCCCTTGCACCTGCAATCCACTGCCGTGGAGTTCGTTTGCCTTCTGCTGTGACACACAAACTTCCACGTCCTCGACTTCGACATCCTCGGAGTTTGTTCGCGAAGGTCTGTGTTCCACCCCGTCTTCCATGCATCTCTCTCTCTTTCTCTCTCTCTCTCTCTCTCTCTCTCTCTCTCTCTCTCTCTCTCTCTCTGAGAGAGAGAGAGACACAGAGAGACTCTCTCTCTCTCTCTCTCTCTCTCTCTCTCTCTCTCTCTCTCTCTCTCTCTCTCTCTCTCTCTCTTGCGCGCACACGCACACACAGACACACACACACGAGAGGGTGCACCTCGTCCTCCACCTGGCACTGAGGATGTTGACCTCATTGCCCTAAGCTTCTCTGCTGTTCTTCCTCCTGTTCTTCCCTCCTCCTTGTCTTCTTCTTCTTCGTCGAGACTTGTGTTTGTGCAAACTGCCCGCCATATCCACTTGCTCCCACCTCCTCTTCCAGCTCATCACCATCATTCGCATCATCAATGTCATCACCTTCATCCTCGTCAGCCTCTTCTTCGTTTCGCCACTCTCTCACTAACTCCTCCTCCTCCTCCTCCGCCTCCTCCACATCATCATCATCATCATCACCTCTTTCCACACCTTTTCTCTTTCCAGCCAAGGCTTCATTCGCTCCTGCGGTCGTGCCCAATCCTCTCACAACACCCACTCCTCCCCCTCCTACTCCTCCTACCCCCCCTTCGTCACCGAGGGCGTTCCGTCTCATTCCCATTAGAAGAGAGAGATCCCGATCCCGTCGAAGAAAGAGTTGACGACAACTGCATTCGGTAAGTGCACTGGAGGGCGGAACATGGCGCGACCAGCTTGACTGGTTCAAAGACTGAAAAGATGCATGGTACTGGTAAGGGCATATGGCAAATTCAACTGCAGGTCCTCAACGGCCAACAGGTAGGGGCATACTGGAAATTTAGTGGTGGTACCGGTAGGGGCATATTGAACATATTTCAGGCCCAAGTGACGCCAGGGGTTTTCTGGAATCTTGAGTCGTTGTCAGAGGGGCAAATCAGGACACATCGGCCGTCCGAGGGCAAATCGCAAATAAAGTTAATAAACGGAAAATTCAGGGGCATTTTGCAAAGTTTGAATTTTCCCCAAAAAAACAGGAATCCCTGCTTCTCTCTGTGGTTTGTCTCCGTTGGTGTCCTATTCAAGTTCTGGTAGGCGTGATTATTGCTATTTTGAACCCTTGTGAATGCCCCTGATGATGACCAGATTTCGGCACTGGTCGAAACATGTAGGCCATGGCCAACTCATTAGGCGGTTTAGACATTTACTGGCTCCGCTGGCATTATGGGTGACTGATCCATCTGGTGTGACTTCGGGAGACTCTTCGTGCTGGATGTTTCGACTACCGTTTTGAATCACTTGGGCTCATTCAAGATACTTTATCTCGCTTGGTCTTGTGCATCACCCACCTTTCCCCTGGAATTGACTTGCTTCCTAATTGCTCTTTCCTCCTCTCTACTCCAGGTTTTCGCTCTTCCCCTTGTTCCTCTTCTTGTCCTCCTCCTTCCTCTTCCCCTTCTCCCTATGCCTTTTCCCCTCAACCATTCTTCTCCTCCTCCTTCTTCCTCTACCCCTTCTCCCTATGCCTCTTCCCCTCAACCATTCTTCTCCTCCTTCTTCTTCCTCTTCCCCTTCTCCCTATGCTTCTTCCCCTCAACAATTCTCCTGATTCTATGCAATCAACTTCCTTCTCTCCCTGGTATATGTCTTGGAAATCGTCTGTTCAACAAGTTCCTTGTCCCTTCCTTGTGTTTTTGAGATGGAGTGGCTTGATCTGATTACCTGGTCCCCGGACTGTATTATATTTTGGTTCTGTGTGTTCCGTATCTTTGTGAAAGTTTCCTACGGTACCTTACATTATGCTATTGCTAAATGTCAGCGCGATGATGCCTGGAGGCGTGGTAGGAATGCAAGGCGTGATCATCCTTGCTAGTGTCAGGTCTTCTTCCCCTATGTCTCTCCCTTTTGCTTTGTGGATGCGCTAACAGAGCCGCAACCTCACGGTTGCTCTCGCTAGTACGTGACGTGATGTTATAATGGATTGAGAAACAATATAATTGAATAGAGTTTGCTGCCCAGGCAGCCCAGAAGGAATCGTACAAACCATTCTGCGGACCACTCCCCCGCTAGCTTATTCGAGCTTTGGAAAGGACAGTTACAAAAAACAATTGAGAACAATGGCAACGTTGCAGACGACAATTCTGCTGGCTAATTTGATTTATTATTATATATCTTGAAAATGCATGTTACTCAATAGCAAACAAGAGGAACATGAAAATGAATGTTACTCAATAGCAAGCAAAGTAGAGGAACATGAAAATGGATGTTACTCAACAGCAAGCAAAGTAG